AATGCATATATATATATATATATATATATATATACACATATATGTTCCTCAAATTGAAATTATCTGTATGTCTGTATGTCAGTTCCCAGGTGCCATTATAATGTGTAAAGCTGCACGCGTCAATCAGGAGATCTCCGGTTGAATGACCCGATACTTTCACCGACCCGATACTTTCACCTTGTGTAAAGAGGAAACAATCTATGTATAAGAATATCCAAATGATGATTTTTCAGTTTTAAATTGTTTTTTGCAATCGACGCATTTCCACTCGCCACACATTGACCTGTTCAATGACTGTATATGGATTCTCATGATATTGATATCACTTGCGGTTTATACTTATCGCCTGCATTTAAGAGCTCTGCAACGCAAATCCCCAAACATCGTGTAAGAAAGTATTGATCACAGTAAACCGAGCAAAGAGACCGTCCGAATTTGTTTGGCACTAACAGCCAGGAGCCTCCCAAAGATGAAAGCTGAAGAGCAATGAGCAATACGAAAAATCAAAGAGCTCAAACGTCGGATTTTTCAGGCCAAAGTGTGAAAACGTTAACGTTCTTGTTTTTATATCTTGTTTTTTGAAACAAAAATATTTGTGCCCTGCACCTGTTATTGTACTACGAGTTACTGGGTTGATCTTGTCCTGTTGTTTTTGTCCGACTTTCTGGCCTGCGTGCAGTGGGCTGAACCTCTCCCCAATTTTGGGGCTTCTGACCGTACACATTTTGGTCCAATAATTTTAGGCCACATCTTCGAAGCAGACCTCGTGATCAAATTTTTTTTAGGAAGCTTAGATTCCGTCAAACTACATCTACAGCTTCAGGGGGAGTATTGATCACAGTAAACCAGGATTGTTTACCAAGCATAAAACTACGGTCAAGCACCGGAGGCTCAAAATGGTTTATCCCAGCATCAACCAAGGAGGGAATCTAAACCTATCCTCATTGCGTTTTACGTAGTAACGTTTTTATTTCAATAAGTATTTAGAAAACGTTATACTTTTATATACGTGCATGGGTCCTCAAAATATTCTCAGGGTCATTTCTCAGGTCAGGTTGACGTGTGCTGTCATTTTTTCCGCTGCAAGGGTTATGACACCAACATGACAACATCGCCCGCCAAAGGTAAATACTGCCGGTTATGGACAGTTGAAAAACTTATACTTATCGATTATGCCTTAAAGATTTATACTTATAGTCTTATACTAGTCTCACAGTAGGATTGTTATCTATACAGTACATAAACAGGAAGTTTAGTACGTCTAAGGTGATTGTAGCTTTGTTGATTGTTTACAAGTCACAATGGGGAGACTGGAAGACCCAGTCAGGACTGAACACTTCATCACCGAAAGAATGAACAAAAAGAATATGTACAATGTGTGCATTGCAATGTGACGCTAACCTTCTCCAATGTGCATCAGCTAAGAGTGCACCTCGCTGGCGAGAGTTATTCCTCAAGCAAAGGTATCAAGACGGGTATGAAGAAAATCATCGCAGAAAAGGCGGCAGCGAGGTTCGCCGAACAGGAGAAGTCGGCGCTTCTGAAAAGGAAGCAGTCCACCTTAGATGGAGGTGGCTCAGGAAGTTTTCAGTCGCAGGCTATAGCAGAAGCAAATGATGCTCTGTCTGCTTTGGTCTATGCTGGTATAATTGACGCCAATGCACTACGTTTAGACCTCTTCAAGAGAGCGATTATTGCGACATCCAGAGTTGGCCCTAACTATCGGATCCCATCCCCCAATTTAGTACTGGGAACACGTCTGGTGAATACTATTGTCAGAATTCGATCTTCCGTGTATACAATGATCGATAAAGTAATAAAGGCGATACTAATGCCTTAGAATAAATAAACGCGTAGGTAAATTCTAAGTATCGTGTAAATATCGATATAAATAAACGAAATGAGACGTTTAATAAAGTTAGGTTTGCCTCGTGAAAACAGCAATACTCTGAGAGATTGTGAGGCCGAGACATTGCCTATATATAATCCTCTCAGTACTGTTTCGCCGAAGGGATTTTATTTAGTGTTTCGTTGTCGCTCTATTCTGGGGCGAATCCGAGAGACTCATAAAATCCTACCTTTAGAAATAAATAGAAATAAAAATTAAAAATACTCTTGACGTCCTTGGTTATTGTCTTAACCAATAACTTGCCACTATCAAGAATTACCGACTTAGCCTTCATCAGACTGGCAGATCTGGTTGGCTTATCGGTGGATCAACTAGGTAACGTTAATAGTCCCTAGAAACCTATATTCGGTTGAGCCATCTCGCTACCGAAGTATTCAGATATAAATAAAATTGAAAAGTAAATAAAGTTCTATTAATAGAACTAGACCAACTCTTTATGTTTGGTATTTTACTGAGGCCTTTTAATGGCCTCATCCAAATATCCGATAAGTTAAAAGGGAAAGGTATTAATTAATAAAACCATTAAACCCCATTTTAGGAAACTTAAGTTCCTCGTGCTATTAAAAGCACATTTAGGAAACTTGAGTTCCTCGTACTATTAAAAGTACGTTTAGGAATTTGCGTATTGCTTTTAAGTTAACATAGAGTATTATGTGGAGGCCCGGCTTATTACATTATCGGAGTCCATGGCTGCCCCACATTTGCCCGGCTCGTAATGAAATGCTTCCCTACGGCTAAAATGACGGTAGTAGAAAGGCTTTGGACGGATTATACGAATGCGTGTGAAACGAAAAAGTCTGGACTTGATGATATTAGCAAGGAGCAGTATGCAATGATAGAGGCTAGCGGCTACACTGGGCCCGTTCCAACTAAATACTGTCTACCTACTGAACTTCGGCATAATATGTATCTAAATGATTTTGAAGATTGGGAAGTAACAGGGGACGGGATGTACATCGATCCAAAATAATTTAACATTTCAGACAAAGAGTATGAAGAATTCGCACGGTTTAATGATCCCAAGACCCCGACCCCTAGAATTGGCGATACCAACGCTGGCCCAAGCTCCCTATCACTAGCCCAAACTTTCGAAACAGTGCAAGCTTTTATTGAGGACTATGAGTTGATTGTGGTGCAGAGTAATAAGGCTAGTCATGTATCTTTATCACGGAAATATAGAGGGCTGATATTGATGCACAAGGGTGCCTTGCATGTAATCGATACTATAAAATGGGTAAGGACTCAAAAGTACAATGTAAGTTGTGCGCCAATGAGTTTGGATGGGGTTGTGGATCGTTCGGATCCTGATAATCAGCCGCTGATACGCATAGCACCTAGCCTTTGGACAGCTATCCGCCGTGCTACTGCTGATGGATATAATCAAGCCATCAAATTCGTTGGAAAGCGGATCCCTGCCACAGTCCAGACTGGTGCTCCAATTGCTCCGAGTGTTGTTCAGATTGAAGCCGAAAAAGAAGATGCCGCAATCGAAGCTGCCGCCGCAATATCTGAAGTTGCTGCAGCAATTACTGAAGCACCTGTCACTGCTTCTACTGCCATCAAGGCCCTTGCTGCGGTACCTGCACCTGTTGCCACCACCGAAGCCCCTGCCACTGCACAGGCACCCGCTACTGCCGCTGTCGAACCCCTTGCCACTGCACAGGCAACTGCTACTGCCGCTGTCAAAATACCTGCCCACTCCTATTACACAGGCACCTGCGGCTGTTGGCATAGCACAAGCGCATACCAAAGCCCAAAAGCAAGCAGCAGCGGAAGCCTCCAGAAAGTCTGCTGCAGAGGTCAGAAGGCAAGCTGAGGAACAGAAAAAAAGCTGATGCCTACGCTGCACAACGGGATGCAATTGACAACATGCATGTACACGATGGTCCAGCTACAAAGCGGACGCGTATTGATCCGATTCATCCGCATACTGCTAACGTGTATGGATCAGCTGTGTTTGCACAGACTGCGCATATAAATATGCATTCTCAGGTACCATATGATCCTCGTTATGTTCATCAGGGCCAAGCACAGCAATACGCAAATTATGCACAACCCCCTCCACCTGGCTACGAGTACACAGCTTATGAATCTGCACATCATGGGTATGAATCATATCCGACACAATACGGAGGGAGGCAAGCATACTACCACAGATGAATACTGTGCTATGAAATTATGTTTATTTTATTGTGTAAAATAACAAAGAGTTGGCACTATGACTGTTGGCAGTTCATATTTGTTCATTTGTTCCTGTAAGGATGCATGAGATCGTTACGAATCACGTACACAACTTGTCCTTCATTTATCAGTGCTACAAATGCTGGAGTAGCAGGGCTGACTTTTGGTTTGAAACACAACTCTACCATTGCAGCATTGCACTTATCCATAGCGTCATTAACCATCTCTGCATCATTATTTCCCTCGACTAAGTTTCTTGGTCCTTTAGTCGGGTCCCATCTGATGTAAAAGGTGTCTTCGTGAGTATCTCTATGCGGGGCAATCGAAAGCAAGTGTAAGAAGAATCTAGGTTCGACAGCAAACGGTAGCTTGCATTGTATTAGCAACTCTTCAAGCAAGGTTTTATTAAAGTGCGGTCTATATTCCAAGGTATTGTCAGGAACCAACGGCTGATCAATGTTGTTGTTCTTTCAATCGGAATCGAAATCGAGTCCAGGTGTTTGATCGAGAGCTATAACAACCATAATATGTGACCGTGTATATGTATATACACCAGGGGAGTTCTGGGACTCAGAGCCGCACTACGCAAGCTTGTAACTCTATGTGGGTCGTCAGGTCGTGGGTCCGTGGGATCACTGGGATGTACTGTGTGTAACCTGTGTGTGTACTATATATTTTTGTTCTTACTTGTGTCTAAAACACAACTGAAATTTTGAAAGTCTGTAAGTCTGATTCTGAACTCTAAAAGACTGAAATTCTGAAACTGAAAGTCTGACATTCTGAAAAGTGAAAACTACCGGCCAACTTGAGTGAACTGTGAACATCCTAACGGCTAACCGCCGCTAGCGTCGTGGTGACACTGACACCTCTCTGGACGTTCCGATTGGTCAGGTGAGAGCTTCATGTCCGAAATACTATGAAAAGGTGTATCTAGTAAAGTCGAAAACTCAGATTTTAATTATTTTTAGTTTTTCTCATCCTCAGCATTCTGCTCGAATCCGTCTTTATAAGTGTTTAGCTCTGCTTCCTAATCAGCTTTTTTAATTCCCAGCATGCTTCTCGATCAGCTTTTTTTTTATAGGTTTTTTATCCACAGCATCCTTCTCGAATCCTGAATTTTTCAAGTATTTAACTCTGTTTCCTTGTCAATCTTTTAATCCTCAGCATGCATCCCGATCATCATTTCTCTTCATCCTGATTCTTAGCTTTTCTTCTCCTCACCATCCTTTTCGAACCCGTGGTTCCTTTTCGGACTTTCGTCGATTTTATCGTCTTCCTCCTTCCTTATCAGCTTTGCTCTGAATTGATTTCGGAGGGGGGGGGGGGTTCCTGCCTCTTTGATAGTTGTGGCAGTACTTCAAGAGAAGCTTCTTAGTTTTATTACCACGTTGGCTTTGGTTGGTCGCTTCTGTTCTCTGATTCAACATGTTACATTGCTTCTCTCTCAGCTACATTTTGCTCTTATTCTGTACATTGCATTTCTTGCCCCTGTTTCTTCCTGCTCAGAATCTGTCCCTTTGCGTGTTCCTACTTTCCCGAGCGATCGTTTGCTCTTTAGGTTGATCAATCAGTTCAGCTTCTTTTGCTCTCTAGGTTGATCAATCAGTTCAGCTTCTCTCTGTTTTTCAAAGTTTTATTACTCTCGTGAACTTGAGCAAGTTCGATCTGTTCGGCCACTCTTTCTGCCTCAGCGTGTTCGTACTCGCATCAAATTTTCTTTGTTCTTGATTTTGTCCACCATAAATATTCATAACACATATGCCCTAACCGTTCGTTTTCAAACCTAAAATTGAGTGAACATAGAAACAGCCAATTGATTTTCAGCGTCCTTCTCGGTTTCGGCATATATCTGCTTTCCGACTTGCGACACGCGGCGCCAACCCTCCGTATAAATGGTGAGCTTATCACGCCGACGCTTGCAGACGCACCTTGGAACACACGTTACCTCCCCCTGAAGATGGCGCCCACACATGCCGAACCGAAACACTCCAAATATCTGGGGTTCCCACTCTCTCACGGAGTACCAGAAATCAACCTCGCCAGACATATGGAATCCCTGGTTGCAGCATTGTCACTGGGTATCGCCTCTTTCCGCGTTTATGGCTTCCATGGCTTCAGCTGGCGACATCCCCGCAACCGACTGGTGATGTTCAAAACATTCATTCTATCCACGGCTACATATGGGCTGAACATTATTGCCTGGGCTCCGCCTATATGAAAAGATGCGTTGGACCCCCTGTTCGAGCGCTTTAACTCAGCACTCATCCAAGCAGCAGCCATCATCACGGGCACTAAATACCCTCGGTTTCCCAAACATCAAACAAACTTACTTCACTTTTGCGGCCTGATCCGGACTACCTCGGAGGTTGCCTGGGAATACAACTCGACTCAATGGCCAGCACAAATCCACTTATCCCTCTGACGCAACCCGCCTGGGCCCACGACAAACCACCACTGCGCTTCCCGTACAGTATCTATGCTCACCTGAAAACTGTACACAAAACCACAGGCGGGCGTACACCCGACCATGTAGCCCTCCGCCAACGCTGTGACGACATCAGGAAGAACTCAACAAAACGTTGGTCCAACAAGGAGATCGCGGCAATGGCCCGGCGCCAATACTACTACCAACTGGTTATGGGTAAACCGCCAACCTCAAACCGAGACACAGCCAGACACGACAGCTTCAATCGCTGCTTCGAGTCTACACCAATCCGGCTCTGTGCTATGATTGTAACGAATACGCACATGTTCACATTGCTCGACTACCGCACCGACGGCTGTCTCTGCCCTGTCTGCCACGGTAGCCAGAAGTTCACTACCAGCCACTTTACCTGCATCCAACAACTGATTCGACGCATCCTGGTAGGCCCGAAACTGCCGCGCATTGGCTCTGACCCCCTTCAGCAATTACAGGAGTGCCACGACTTCCACGGTATCTGGACCCTCCACGAGCACCTTGGATCTTTTCTCCAGCATGTTAAAGAACCACCGTACCCTCACCCGTCCCTGACAGATCAACAGATGTTCCCCATACCCCGGTTAATCACGCTGTTGATGTACTACTTCCAAATTTTGGTTCAAACCAAATCATTGCGCTTGTTGGTTCCGCCTATGATACTTTCGATCCAGGCCAGCCAACACATACCGAATTCATCCGTGGTCTGGTGCGGCATTGGCTTACGCCCATCCTCGCCCCTCGACCGGAGTATGACGGATAACCTGGTCCTTCTCGGTATTTCGTACTCTGCACTAACCCATTCCGCCGCACTACACGGCGCAGACCCGATCCGTACCACAGAGGTGGGTACTCTGCTTAGTAGGTCAGCAAGCGAATATATGGAACATTCGATAGTAACAGTGTTTTGTCAACACCGGCCCGAATTGATTCAGCGCATATTTTCCATTGTCGACTCACTTGGCCCAAGCTTCAAACGGGAATTTACTGACCACTTCTTCCCATCAATTTTTCCTGAACCACTGCAGCGAATATGAGAGCCATACCATATGTTCATACATTGTAACATACATACTTGTCATTTTTGAAATAAATAATATTATCCCTATGAACATTTCTGATCCTTAGTGTTCTCGAATTTCTCTGCTTCCTTTTCAGCTTTATTATCATCAGCACCCTCGAATTCTACTTTTAGTGTTAATAGTTCTGCTTCCAAATTTCGAACTTTTTAATCCGCAACATACTTCTCAATCGACTTCATTATACTTTTTCAATTTGTTTAATCCTCAACGTCTTTCTCGATTTTATTTTCCTTTAATATTGTTTCCACCTTCGTTTTGAATGCGTGTCAGTTTTTTCTTCTTCTGCCTCTTTGATAGCTGTGAGTTCGAGGAGAAGGTGTATTGTTATCCGCACGCTGGCTTAGGCGGCTTACCTGTTAACTTCAATTTTCTGACTCGGCTTGTTTCACAGTTTCTTGCGTCTTATGCCCTTGTTTTTTGTTGAACAAATTCCCTTTTATTTCCTGCTTCTGTTTTCTCAGCCAGTGTACCTTCGCATGTCCGTACTTTCACCATCTTTTGCTTGCTATTTTGCCTGCTCACTCCGTTCGGTCTCCAGCTCAGTACCATTGTGTGTTCCAACTCTTGTTAGATCAGTCCGGGCCCCCTCTGTGCCTCGGTGTTCTAGTATTCTCACCAGCTCTCCTTTCATCTTTAGCTTGTAAGATATGTTGAGCTTCCCTCTGCGCCTTTAAAAGTATGTTCATACGCTAGTCAGTGTTTTCTTGTTGTTGTGCGGTTTGTTCAATCTGTTTGATGTCCCTCTGTCTGGCCTCTCTCTATGCCCCGATGTGCTCGGACTCTCACCAGCTTTCATCTTTGGCTTGTTGGTTCTGTTCGGCTTCTCTTCGTGCCTCTCTATGTAGCTACTCTAGTCAGTGTACCTTTGTAGTTTTTTTCAACTTGTTCGATCTGTTTAACCTCGCCATGTTCAGACTCTCTCTGCACCCCAGTGTATTCGTACTGTTACTACCTTTCCTTTGATCGTTAGCTTGTAAAGTCATGTTTAATTTAATTTTGTGCCTTAGTGCGTTCCTACTATAGCCAACGTTCTTTTGTTTTAGTTGCTTGCTCGATCTGTTCACCCTCTCTCTGTGCCTCAGTCTGCTCCTACTG